CCAAAACGAGCCCAAGAGCGGATACCCTCAACAAAAGACGTGCCCAAGTCGATTTGTCGGAAAGATAGATGATGGCTCTTTGACAACATCGGCTTTAGCATGTTCAACTGGGTGGCTGTGGCCCTCGCAGAAAGATAAAAGATGTGCTGGTTATTGCGAATGTCTTTCCTATCCAGTTAAGGGTCAAAGATCCATCCAAACAGCCAAGTCCAAGTGGTTGTCGCCAGGGGTCTCCCAAAGGCTGTGGTGCACCGACGCATGAAATTATCCCGCGGTCACCGATCGCATGCGTGCCAGACTGACCTGCTGAGTTGGTCGTTTTGATGAAGTTGACGTGTTGTTGGCAGAGACCAACATGGATGTATCGTAAAATAAGGGACCCTACAAATGGTGCGTGTCGCTTTGGCTTCCCGTTAAACCCACCCTTTTTTGGGTACCCACAAAACTGGAAGGTCTTCAGTCGAATGTTTGGAAACTGAACATTCGTATGGTGCTTGCTTGGTAATCGAATATGAACAAGCGAGCAAGCTCGGCCAAAACAAGACTTAAAGTGCTGAGGGAAGAGGAAGCAGCCAAATTGCGACACAGAGCAGAGGCTGTCAACAAAAGTGACGGCATGCAATCGAACGCAGCGACGACGAGCGAAGAACTTACGCGCGCCGCGAAACCAAAAAGTGAAAACTGACCCTCCACGCCCATTTGCCCGACTTTTGGACTTTTGTAGTGACAAAGGGACATAGTCTACCTAGAGTCTCCATGACCCTTAATATTACTGAAAATAAAGGGGTCATGGACCTATTTTTTAAAGGGTCATGGAGACTCCAGGTAGGCTAAAAGGTAACTCGGACTAGTGGGTCGACCGGATTAATCCAAAGTCAACATGACCAGCGAACCTGACTACGGCCATGAAGTTTAAGAGTTGGCGATGGAGACCCATCAAAAAGTGGCTGCTCATAAATCGTTTTGTCGACGCCCACCATATCCCCAGTGGGACTTCATACTCAAGGACTCCGTCATTCGGAAGGCCTGGCCACCAAGTGCTTGCCAAAAGAGACCAAGAGGGAAGTAAACGGCAAGACAACAGTGAATTGGCCAAGCGCCACACCTGGCAATGTCACCTCTGGTCAGAAGTTAAAACTACTTGTAGGAACCCACACGGGTTGGGGAAAATGGGGCCGTGGGGTGTCAGTCCTTCCTGTCAAAAGCAACACTGCTCAGCAGTTCAAGGTCGCATGTGGGGATTTGGTGAGCAACCACCGTGTAAAATGTGTCCACCGAAAGGTTCAACCTCTGAAACATTGTGCTCAAATGATGGCAACTATGCTCAACATGTTTTATCACCTGTTGTTTACCCAACCTACTGTTGGTTTCCTTCAACGCCAGGGACTGGTTCTTTAAATGATGTGCTCACACGGCTCGCCGCATTCCGCTGGCTTCGAGCGAGTGTCGTGTTGGGCCCCGCGTTGGCCATGGACAACACGCCGGGGCCAGTGTGCTTCAGCTTGAAGTTCTCATCGGGGAACTTGTTCCCATAGATGGACTTGCCACCTGCGCACACGGTTGATGTCTTGGATCTACCAACATGGGTTTAGAGATCTAATGGTGATCGTTTGCCCCTTCCAGTGATCGTTTGCCCCTTCCAGTTACGACTGTGGGCAACCAGGATATTTCATCGTGTACAACCTAGAGGCAAAAAGGCGTTACTATGTTTTTGGATGGTCGAGCGTGGGGTTTGCCAAGATGGGTGTGTCCTTTGATGGGGGACGCCAAAATCGTGTTTTTGTTTTTTTCTTGGGGGGGTCCCCTCCAACTAAGGTACGTACTCCTAAACAAGAAGTTGGATAGGACGGTTTATAGGCCCAACCACAACCCTCTTCCGAAATCAGGCAGTTGCTGGGTCTTGCCCCCTCCCACCTACCCCCTTGAAAACCGAAACAACCGGCAAAAACATTGTCGCTGCCCAATGATGTCATGGGTAATTGGCTCTTGATCTCCCTGTTCAATAGGCACTTTAGGTATCCCTGGCTCTTTGGCTCCACCAATGGCTCCCTCAATGTCCGCGGCAAGGTTCCAGAAAATCCTTACCATGGCAACTCCCCTAATCTTTGAATTGACAGTGTCACTGCTCCCTTCGGAAAGTATTTGGTCTACCCCTTAGAACAAACATACACCAAGAGGAGTCTATCACCATCGCAGCCCGAAGCAACTGGGTGCTTTGGCTGTCAGGGGGTCATGGGGGGATCTTCCCGACCCTTCCCCCCGCCTCGGACATCACATTCGAGCCAAGTCAAACTGCCACGAAATGGTCTTTCCAAGTGACTAGAGTGCAGCAACTAGGGAGTCACTGGAAAATCCCCAACCAGACCTTTTGCAGACGCGCCGACGGTTACAAGCTGTCTGACTGCAAGTTCAATGGACACTCACATCGGAACTTTTAGGCAAAACATGGATCTGTTGCAGGTTCGAAGGAAAATCAAGCATGCGTTGGCCAAGAATATCTCAGTTTCCAAAAAGACCCAAAAACAAAAAGGTTAAGTAATGACGAACAATAATGGCTTTGGGCAAGTACCATATGCTACAAGGGCCAATGAGATATACTACAAGGGCCATAGAATGGTGTTGTGGGATATGAGTACACATAACCAAGTAGTTTTTGCAGCCACAAACTCTTTGCAATTGGATATAACAAACCACATCGAAACCATCGGTCAATTTTGTGGACATGGTTTTCAATGATTCAAGTTGAAGACGGTTCTCCCCCCAAAGGGGTTGAAGGCAAATGCATTTTGGCAGGCAACCATGCCTAACATCTAGCAATAAATTGATTTAATAAAAATAGAAACCGTGAAGCCTGGAGTCACCCCACACAAACCTGGTTAGCCTTCCATCGACAAGCATTCATCCTGACTTGGGGGGTGGCTTGGACCATAGCAGTATCCTCTGCAAGGAACCCTTTCTCTGGCGCGTTCCATTTTGGACGAGCAGATTGGCCGGAACAAGTCTGAGTTGGCCTTGTCAAAAAGGTATTATATAGGTGCAGTGGACGAAAGGATGCGTGACAAGAGTCCCCACTTCTTTGGCCAGTTGAGATGTGCAATTGCAAAGTGGAAGTAACAGTTTCAAAGAAAACAACAGGCGGGGATACCTAAAAGCACATCAGAGCGTGGACTGGCCAAGTAAAGTCCAAAACCTTTGTTTACCACCAAAATGGTCTTCCCAACAAAGTTTAGGAAGTGAGTAACTGTCCGAAGTGTCCCACACATTTGGCACTTGATGTTATGAATAAAACAATCTACAGCAAACAGACCTATATTTGCCCGTTAAACATCACCCCAAAAGGAAACTCAACTAAGTTGGCGGTGTGGTGAACTGCCAAAGAAGAAATATAGGGATTTCTGGCAACTTCTGCCAAACATCAACGCATCTGCACACCGAACACCATGGGCAAATATTTGGGCCAATGCGCCCTGGCGTCGAATGCGGGGATCCATCTACTGCTGTCTATTGCAAGGACCTCGGGGAACCATCACATGGAACTAGGAGAACCATCATGTAATGTAAAGCTGAGGGGCAACAAGTCTTGGTTGCCCGGTTTAGTGGTAGCTGGATCAGGGCTGTTGATCAGCTACAAACCCCTGTCTGCCTGTGCCATTGCCGCGTGTAAAGTCTCCTCCTGTCGGCACTGCGGACATGGTTTGGCAGAAAAGTCATGTCTTGTTTGCCCTGGTTTAAAGGGCAAGTGAAGGAAACTCAAAAGGGCAAGAACAAAAAACCTGTGTAAGTCAAGTCTGGCAATAATGCGGGGCTGTCTCAGACAGAGCTCCAGATCCCTCCACATGGATCAATATTCTTAGGGCTTCCTTCTAGACAACCTTGCAGAATTCGGCCGCAAGAACAGGCATAACCCCTATGGAAACAGATTGGCATACCTCCGAGGGCAAACATGTTTAGGACGCCCATAGCTTTGGCCAACAAATTGAGGAAGTCTTGGCAGGACAATCTATATATAATTATGGTATGGCCCACCTACGAAAAGCACAAGTCTTGTGGAGTTACTTAAATGAGGCTTAAACAACAAACAACTCCTTGTTGGATAGCTCAAGAAGGCAACTAGAAAGAAACTAAACTTTATGGGGTTCATTTATGGGGTTCAACTCGTTGACACACGCGCACACACGCACACACACGGATCTGCCAATCAATGTCCGACAATACAAGGGTTAGAATTAAGACTTACGAAGCCAGCCAACCATTGGAAAATGCTTTATTTTTTATTTTATTTTTGTGAGATATAGAGCAAGCAACAGAGCAAGAAAAAAGTGATCCCAAGTTTCGGGTGGGAAAAAAAGCAAGCAAAAAGTGATTTTAGAGCAAACAGTGGGCACTACAAAAGCAAGAATGAAGCAAACAAGAGACCAGAAATAGCAAGAACATAGCAAGAAAATTGTGAAACAAAAAGCAAGAAAATTGTGATCAACCCTCGAAACCAGGAAATCTGCAAATCACAGCGGGAGATCACTATTTTCTTGATTTTTTGGAGTGGGAGATCACTATGTTCTTGCATTTTTTGCAGGCGACCCTCAACCCGGAAATCTGCAAATCACAACGGGAGATCACTATTTTCTTGCTTTTTTGGAGCGGGAAATCACTATTTCCTTGCTTTTTTTGGCAGGCGACGACCCTCGAACCCGGAAACCCGAAATGTGATTTGCAGATTTCCGGGTTTCGAGGGTCGTCGCCTCCAAAAAAAGCAAGAAAATAGTGATTTCCCACTCCAAAAAAGCAAGAAAATAGTGATATCCCGTTGTGATTTGCAGATTTCTGGGTTTCGAGGGTTGTCGCCTGCCAAAAAAAGCAAGAAAATAGTGATCTCCCATATAATCACTATTTGGATCCTCGCTACTTTGAGGTGCCCAAATCACTATTTGATGACCATCTGATCACTATTTTCTTGTTTTTGTTTGTCAACTGTTGCAAGTAAATCACATTTTTCTTGCTTTTCAGTTTGCTCTTAATTTTCAGATTGCTATTTTCTTGCTCCAACCCTCACTCCCAAATCACAAAAAAAATGAACCTCCCTCAACGGTTGGCTGGACGAAAACTCTTAAGGTTAGAAATCGATGGAAACCTACCCAAAGCCGATTTCCTCGTAATATTATGTAACCATTGTCCTGACCTTCAGCTGACTTGTGCTGCACCCATTGCCAAATCAGACAAAACTTCATGAGCTTTGCGCCTGTGACATTTGGCGTTCAAAGCCCGTGTGCTCAAACTCCGCGGTACTTCTTCATGTCGTCCCAGCGATGGTTTGGATGCCAGCTTTGAAGCCTCGGGTTGAGCGTGGTGTTGGCCTGCGTGAACTCGCGGTCTTCGTGAGACACAAGGGTCTGTCTTTTTTGCGTGTACCTTCTTTGGGATTGGTTTATAGGGAAGCGCAGGGATTGAAAAACCGAAGGAACACTGGAAAGGGCCAAGAAGTGACTAAAGGTCATAAACTCAGGAAGTGAGTTCATCTGGGTGCGTCTTTGTTTGAGGGCACCCTTGTTTGGTGGCTTTTGAACAAAAATAGAAAACCATTTGTGAGGTCACTCCCAACAAAGCACACCCATCTGACATCTGGACAGTGGCCCAGTCCTTGAATCATGAACTTCTTGATGACCCTGGCATCGGCCAAAACGGCGGCAGACACGGAAGACGGACCGAAAGTCCCGCAACCAGCAAACTCCACACACACACACACACGCCGCAAAAAAACAACAACAAAAACTTCCCTGCATTACATGGAGCCCAAAGAATTGTCCCCCAAACAAGAGATTCCCTAGAAATAAATGCTTGTTGGGTTCCATATTGATCCGCGCGGGAGTAGTCTGTTGACAAGATAGGCTTGGCTGAATAGGTATCACATGTCGAGTAAGTGAGGCATGATCCGAAACTGGCACTGAAGAGGCCACGCAACTTATGATGGGATGGTCCCTTGCTACTCGTCTTCTGCCTGAACTTTGCTGCTAGCTCTATCAAGTACAAAGGGAAGGAAAGCAAGAGCTGGGGACCAAACTTCAGTATCCACACACGTTTTCCATCTCCGGCATCAGAGAGTTGAACAACAGGTGGTTGGGGGTTCGAGTTGGCTGCTGATGATGATGCGACTAGTTGGCTGCTGGCTTGCTGCGATACAAGCTTGCTTGCGGACCAAGCGAAACTGCAGCCTTTCACTACCAGAATATGACCTATAGTGTTTCCAGTTGTAGAGATACACATCATGGTTTCTGGTTGTCTCTTCTCGGAACTGGAAAGGGGTCAAAAAAAACAGTTAGATCCCCAATGTTTGGGGGATCCAATTTTGAAGGTCCTCATGAAACCCCGCCCCGAAAACCAAGTGCTTGGAATTGCTTCCAAAGCTCCAGAGGTACTCGGTGAAGGTTTCCCCTGGCTACCTCCAGGGAGGTCCCCCTGAAATATGAACCCACCCCGCAAGTGGCGTTTTTTAGGCAAAAAACCATTGGCAAAAGTCTTTTGGAGAAGCCCACCCCCTAATAACAACAACAGGAAAACCATCTCAGACGCTGAAAAGTGGGGCGAAACGGCGAAACAGCCCAAGGAGCGTTTTCCGCAAAAGTTGGCACTCCTTTCAGGGGTTGTTCTCTTGAAACCCCCACCCCCCAAACCGAACCACAAAACAAGACCACAACAACCCCCCCCACCCCCCCACCCCACCCTAGCGGGCGCATGGTACGGGAGCCGAACCGCGTGAGCGCGGGAGCCGCCTGTGGAACTCGGAGTCCTTGAAGCCGAAGCCCTTCTCGCCGGTGCAGAGCCTCGCTCGAGCGAGCCGCGAGCTCCGGCGCTCGAGCGGATGGCGCGGGCGCGGATATGAATCGGCTGGTCGCTTTGGGACTAAATGAGGTGGGCCGGTGAGAACGGAAAGAAAAGGACGTGCCTAGACTGTTACTCAACCACTTGTACTAACATCCAGACACGGTCAAAATGACCCCTAGGCTTGTTTGCTTGTTTTTACATGGGTGTCCAAGGTTTCTTGGTCATTCAACCCTCTGGAAGTTTCTCAAACATAATTTTGGATTTCGGACCCTCAGAAAAGGGTGCCATTTCAGGGTCCCGCTGGTCCAACATAGTTTGAGGGTAGCCACTGGTTGTATACCAAACAGAAGACCATGCTGTAGGAGTTTATTTTGAGACAAACTCATACGGTGTCCCCCCAAGAATCCTCTATATAAAGGGGTGAGAGCTGTCTCAGTTCCCCTAAGTGCCGGGGTTGAAACCTATTTTGCTCCACCCTGCAGAAGTGTCATAAAGGTAGCCCAGGAACTTCCCCTTGCGTGAGGGTTTAACCTCCAAAAGGCAATTTCATAGGAGGGCTAAACATTTGGGGATGTGTGGGGAAGGGGAAAGGAGGGCGGTGTAAGCCCATGCGGCAACCCCCTCCCAATCCCATTCTGCCACATTTCAGTCTAATCTTCCCCAACAAAACTCCTGAAAAAGAATCACTCAACATGTCCCATTCTATTTGAAATCCATTTGCTTTTTGGCTGTTGGCTTTGGAGCTTCTTGCTGGTGCTCAGTAGGGCATGTGGGAATGAACCTTTTATTCCCCTTGAAGAAAACCACCAGTTGGTGGAAGGTTTCTATTGCTGACTCATTCCATTTCTCATTCCCTGCCTATCGCACCCGCAAGTCTTAGGTTTCTCTCCGCGAAAAAACAAAAAAAACGCTCGCCGGGTCCCATGGTTCCCATGCCGTGCTTCCCGGCGCTCGGAAGTTCTCGGCGGTCTTGGGCACCACGTCCCCGTAGAGGCCCATGACGATGCGCCCCGCCTCGCGCACGCGGTCGGGTGGCTTGGGGGGTCAACGGAAACCCGGCTGCAGCCGTGGATTTTCTTGGAGGTTTTTCGAGGTTCCCGTCCTCACCTTACGGGCAACCAACGGAAACCCCATTTTTTTGGAGGTTCTTGGAGGTGCCCGTCTTCACCTTGCGGGTAACCAAAAGTAAAACTGGCAACCATTTGGCTCCAATTATATTGACCCTGTGTGGGTTGACGAAGCCAGAACCCAATGAAAGAAAACAGGTGGTGTCCGGAAGCTTAAGGAAGTAACCACCAGCCACACCATCAAACCACCGGGCTTCAAACCACAGCTTCATGGGTGTGTCTTTTCGTAGGGGACCCCCTAGAATAAGCAGTTTTCCTATTGGGTTCCCTTGGTTCCCTTTCCTTGCCCCAAGCCACCGGAGCTTTGGGCCTGTCGACCCGTGAACAACAACAGGCCTTCTCTGAGCCGACGGACATGTCGAAGAAGACCTTGCTCGTCACCTTCGAAGCTTCCAACTAACCAAACCAGTGCCCAAACTTTCAAACCGGGGTAACCACGAAGTTTGACCCCTCCAACCCACCCCCCCCCCCCACGCCGTGCTTTTTTCAGGGGACAAAACGACAGACACTCCGAAAGATTAGGCTGAGAAGCTTGGGGCTCACACGGTTCTGGTGCCTTTGGCACATAGTTCCTCCTTACATGAAAGCGGGCAGGACGATGCTTAAACCATCCAAAGAGCTTGCATCGAGGTAACCTTATCAATGCCAAGAGAGAAAGTCAATGCAGGTCTCGACCACGGGACAGTTTGGGACCAGGCTTCAGCCCCCAACGCCTGCTTACAGTTGAGATAACTAACATGTTCGGTGCCGGAACCCGTGCCCTGAACAAGTGGAGACATTCCGGTTTTTGTCTGCGTACATTCATAAGCTTTGTAATATGTATATATATATATATATATGCACACGCACACACACACACACGAGGTCTTAGCCTGATCCATCTGCGAGCACACGGCACGCCTTGGGCGCGGCGTCGGCGAAATGCCGCCTTTGCGGCGCAGCCTGACGAAGCGCCGCAAAGGACCCTTCGCCATTCAGAGCTATAGAGCACATGCAGCTGCAAAAAACGCGGCTGGTCACAGACCATTTGGGTGTGGCTCAAAATTGAAGAGCGAGGGGTTGCGCAGATTTTAACTTTTGGTTCGATTTACCAAGGTGCCATTTTGGTACATGGTTTGAGCCACAGCCATTTCCGGTCAGAAGCTTCTCACGGCTCTCAATCAAACTTGGATGTGGTGGGCATCATTTACATTAAAATGAATGTCCGCCATTGTTGAGCGTGTTCCATTTGAAAATCATTCTCGTGTGGGGTCGCTTACACAGTAGCTAGTTCCAGCTTGATTTGCCTTCATGCCAAAAGAGGTGCCCTTTCCAATTGCGTATGTCTCCGCCCCCAAAATGGCCTTCCGTTCCACGAGGCTTCCCTCTAAGACAAACCGAAGGACAGGGTGCCTTGAAGGATACATGTGTGCCACACTAAAAGCCACCTTTATCAGCTGTTTCAAATGGGTCTTCTACATGTGCCAGGTGCTGTTTAGGTGTATTCGTAATTACCTTACGGCCAAAACATCCCGCTTGCCCGCGACGTCTGCGACCGCCCCCGCCCCGACCCTGAAAACGTGGCAGGCGTGGGAGCTTGTAGACCTGTGTATGGTGAACTCCCTCAAAACCTTGGGTGTCGAAACCTGGATTTGGAGCACCCTGTCTTGGGTTTAAACCCTAAACACTAAACCCCAAACCCTAAAAACCCTAAACCTAAACCCTAAACACCCTAAACCTAAACCCTAAAAACCCTAAACCTAAACCCTAAAAACCCTAAACCTAAACCCTAAAAACCCTAAACCTAAACCCTAACAACCCTAAACCTAAACCCTAAAAACCCTAAACCTAAACCCTAAAAACCCTAAACCTAAGCCCCAACCCTAAACCTAAACCCTAACAACCCTAAACCTAAACCTTAAAGGCAGCGGCAGACATCCCCACAAAGATGCTTGTGGGCGAGCCGCGTGTTTTGTGGGTTACCTTACAACAAAGAGTTCACTTCCGATTGAAACAACGACAAAAATACACACCCACTCCTGATGCAGTTCCTCTCTGCCCAGTCCGCGACAAAAAAAAAAAAAACATGTCCACCTGAAGGGTATGAGACCAAAGTCCGACACAAAAAAGTAACATACAAACCTGTTTGCCGTGCAAAACTTGTAAGATATACCCTGAGAGAAGCCGCCCCATGGACAGCTGAAAATCTATGGGCCGAGGGGTGTTGGTTCGACTGGATGACAGGAAGGGCTTCTTTTCGATGCCGGCATGATGCATGTCATGCCTGCCGAATTCCGTTGAGTTGGTTTCAGCAGCCAATCAGAGAAAATTGCCCTAATAAAACCAACATGTTCCACACACAGCCCCGTGGAAATCGTCTCTCTCCCAGCCCCCCCCCCCCCACGATATTCTTTCAAGGCTCCACCGCACAGCGACGGGCAAACATTGCCATGACCTTAGAGCTGCGTAAGTCCGACGCACAACGTGTCTCCGTTTGCGTAAGACCCACATATTCAGTGTAACAATATATGTGCGTGCGTGCGCGCGTGTGTGTGTGTGCTGTGCAAAACAGTCTTAATGTTGAGCCCGGATCAAGAAACTCCTGTTTGTTAATACGGGGGTGCCCCGCTCCCTCTTCAAATCACCCGATTGAATCGGCTCCCCAGGTTTCCGTAGCTTCACGGGTGCGTCGTTTTTGACATAGGCCCCCAAAATGGATGGTGTTCCTGTTAATTTCCCCGAAAAAGCAGGGCACCAAGCCAAAAAAAGACGAGCTACCCTGAGTAGGGCAGATTTGTCTGGGCCACCTTGGGCCCTTTCCCCTTCGAGCCCAAAGAGTGAGCCATGGCCGTGTCGTATTTGGAAGTTCTTTTGGGAGACCAAAAGGAAAGAATTGCCATTTTTTGGGCTCCCCCCTTTTTCAGACACACTCCAGTAACCTTGCAAAATACGGGCGACTCCCCAGTTTTAACGGAAGGAACCAGCAAAAAGCCATGCCATGATTGGCATCGGCAGCTCCTTTTGGGAAATGGACTTCTTTTTGGGCAAGCCTTCCGTTGTTTTGCAGGCGGTGATCGACTTTTGCGACCTTATAACCAACAACTAGACAAACACGGGGGAACCCAACAAAACAGAGCGGCATGGATGGAGACTCCCCAAGTACCGCAAGAGGCATATGACTTGGGCCTGGGCAAAACTGGTGCGGGGCCGGCGGTGGATTCTTAGCTTGAGCCCGCCGCAGCCAAGCGATGGTAGCGCGCGAAGCTGGTGCTGCCATGTGAGCCCCATGCAAAATGCGTATGTCGGCCTTTCGTGTCGTGTTTTAGGGGAAACCAGAGGGAAAACCACCATCTGCAGCTCCCCTATTTTGAGACATACCCAAATGCTAGTTCAAACATTGACTTGTTGTTGGTCAGTGGGAAAACACATATCGGAAATTGAAGCTAAAGTGAAAGATGCTGAGACTCAATCAAATAGCAAACAAGATCAAACAAGAATAGTGACTCGTTTCCCCAAGAGGACATGTGAAATTTGGGTGGGCCCTTGGTTTTCGTGGAAAATCTAGGTGGACGCCCAATGTCCTCAAAGACATGCAATGTTGCCAGTTTCTCATGTGGATCGGACCCCTTGATGGGCACCTTTTACATTGACGTGAATGGTACCACCAGAAACCGATTGCGGACTGCCCAAGAGCGATATCCGTCAACCGACAAACCGGAAACGGGCCCATCCAATACCGACACCCTGGCAATAGTGTCCGTGACTGACATTTTGGCGGTTCTTTTCAACATGAAAGTACTGCGTGTGCTGCAAGTCAATGGCAGAATGCATTGTTGGGGATGCGGTGTGCTCGAAGCAAAGCAGGGTGGAAGCCCAAGTTGAAAGCTGTTCGCATCAGCTTTCGCTTGACGTGGGTTGATTCATGTTCATTCCCTGTCAGACTCAATCAAAAAAAGCCAATTCTGCGACATATCCACATTGTAGGTTGTGCCTGTCTCCAGTGCAGCATTAAACTGGACCAAAAGCGAAACAAGTCCCTCTAAACGTGGGAATGCGTCAAACCAGGACCCATCTAAACTCTAAACTTTTTGAGGTTGTTTTCTTTGGTTTCCATTCTTAACCATCCCAAAATAGGGTTTGCTCAAAAAGAAAAACACCTAAATGGTTTGCGCGTGTTGGCTTCCAGTACATCAAAGATTCAAGGATTGCCCAGGGACCGATCCCCAGTGTCTGACATTTTTGGCAAAGCCACATACCAACATAGTTGCTAAGACCTGACCTTCTGAGGGGTCCTCGGGGGCTTTGAACGGAAGCCAGCAGATTCAACCATCAGCTGGACCACCAAACTTTGACACATTCCCGAACAGCCCACTCTGCATTTGGGACGTGCCTCCAAATTAGGGAACCCCCAAACGGGTGTTTTCCGGTGCTCACCAATTCAAAACACAGCAGATTCTACCCAATGTCCGAGGCTCCTACGAACGGTGTCCGGATTCGGACGGTTCTTTTTGTCTCACAAGGGAGTGCCCATGGCCCCTGTTTGGGCTCAAGGGAACACAAAAACACCAACATCTTGGGGATCCAAGTTTGACAAACATACCCAGGTGGTTCAGCGTTTCAGGGCCCGTAGGGCCATCCATAGCCCCATGGCCCATGTTTTCCCCTGGGTTTACCTTCCATGCAAAAGCGGGTTTCAGAAAGGAAAATGTATGGAGGGCCCCAAATTATGTTCGGAAGCGACCCCCTGTACATGACCATGACCGAAGAATCGGGTTCCCCCCCCCTTTTGAGAATCCGCCAAAACTTAACCAGAGCAGTGCAAAGTCTCACATTGGCTAATATGACGTCCTATTGAAGGTAACTTGCATCTTTTCCGGGCAACACAGCACGGCCTGGCGCACAGATCATGCGCTTGCCGACTGCGTCACTGCGTCTCTGCCATACTGTAGCAATGGCTGTGGTTGACCACTGCTACGATTGCGATCCCACTGCGCACAAACCATTTCGTGTTGCTTTGGATGCGGTTTACGGAATTCACCGATTCTCCCCTTCGTTTCACGAGATGAAACCACATCTGGCAATATCGAAGCCGCTAACAATTTCCCAAACTCAACAGCTCCCGTTGGTGTTCAATGGGGGCCAAAAGCGAAGATGGAGCCTTGGGAGGGTCCGAGCCCTCGCGGGAGAGCCTTTTGAAGGCCGGGGCAGTCGGTGCCCTTTGGGCTGTTTGGGCTCGTGATGACACAAAGTTTGTTGTTTTCCAAGTACCCCACAACCCAATTCTAACTAGTTATGACAAGGGAATCAAAAGGAAACGACCATATCTTTGAAGCAACGATGGTCCTTCTCATTGAGAACACATCCTTAAGCTAAAATGCTGAAATGTTGTGTCAATCTGCCAACTGCACTGTCATGACACAGCATGATGGCTGCCTCCAATTCAAGGCTGGAGAATCCTAGAAAGACCCTCATCTGCTGATCGAATATTTTTGTATGGGTCTTTTTCATTTGTTAGTTTACTGTAAACCAAACAAATATTGGAGGAGGCCCCAGCTGGTCGTTTGGTATTCAACTATGCCAACCGTTCGAACCAAACGTCTCTTGCGTTCCCTTGCGCACAAAGTCTAATCTAGTTGCCGGTGAGAGCGAACACGCAAACACATACCAACAAGTTGAAGCTCGAAGACCCTAAATGGCAGCCAAGTACGGGCAATCCCGCAAAATTCACAGTAGCGTCTCCCTTGTATATGGTCGAAAGTGGAAACCAAACCACGTCAAGGGTTCCTTTTGAGAAACACCCCAGTAAGCCCAGTGCTGCATCCGCGCCAACTCGGGGATTTTTTGTGGGATGTGCACATGGTTCAGCTTGCGGCGGTCAGAAGATGTGCACCATGTCCTGGGCCGGAGACATGGGAATTCCGGAACTGGATCTCACCTGATTTTCACCCTGCTCCCGTTACCAGTAGAAACCAGGAAAAAACACATGTAAACATTAAGGTAAAAGTACTGGATTCCTACCATCCAACATTCATTCAGAGACGGTGTTGGCCCTTAATGGCAATGGTCCTTAGCTGATTGCATCCGTCTCTCATACTTACTCTTTGGTGGCATTGGCTCCGCTTGCTATGGCTCTGACTCAGTCTATCACACTCCCCTCCCCAGAAGACCTTAAAATGGTTGGGGGCTAACGAGGTTTGTAAAGGCCCAACAACGCCAATTACGGTCAAATAACGCCTGAACTGTTTGGGTGCTTCCTTGGGGCCGGGGGGGGGGGGGGGTCAGGGTCCCCTGTAAAGAAAGGGGAACCTGTTCTGGCCCAGTAACGCAGAGAGTGAGAAAAGGAGAACCGGTGCCGCTGAACACTCCAATTTGGACATTGGGGTCAAATACTCAGCGCATCCCTCCCAACACTCCGGCATAGGTGTCCTTTTGGGGAGATATATGGCCCTGGTAGATGATTGAACCCTCAGGTAAACGAGGAATCACCATTTATTCTTCGACCAACTCAACCAAAAGGACGCCTATGGTTACCAGGTTTCCGGGGTACCTACTATAGCAATTGGATTGGTGGGGTTGTAGAATCACCAGTTTTTCCTGGAAACAAATAAAGCTACTCAAACGAAACCTACAAACTATTGAATCACTCAAAAGGGACTAAAAATCCGCAGATTACTAAAAGGGATTAAACAAAAACACAGTTACGGACTCCAATGTTGACTGCGGATTTTTATTATTTATTTTTTTTTAAACTTGTCTTGGGAGTGGGTCGGGTCCAGCAGTGAAGGATTCCTATTAACCGAAGACCCCCCCAATCACATTCAAGCAGTGGTTTGTTGCTCCGGGGTTCCCATGAAGCCAAAGCATAGCCAGCCGCACAAGGAAGCCCTTGGGAGGCTTCTTTTTTTGGCGTTGATCCAGTGTCCCGCTGCAGATGGCTAACACAGCATGCCCCATGACATAATGAGTGATGCTTAAGGGACTGCCAAACCAAGTTCAAAAGGGATAGTATTGGCATCTGGGTATACCACTCCCACACTGGAAATACCAGAAACCCCCCAGAGGACCTTCAGCAAGAGCTTCTGTTCGTGAGCCTCGGATCAGGAAGTGCTCTTGAACCAATTTACCCAGGTACATCCCCCCACTGGAAGGCTTTCCAGCGAATTCTTCAGAAGGTGAGGTTGCCCCTGGCCCAGATCCACACAGCAGATTGTATGTTCAGACTAGGTTCCCAATTAAGTCTACCTAAAATATTGATGTTATGCTTGGACGAGAAAACAAAGGGGGAGGTTTCTTGGTATCACCGGCATCTTCATTCCAACCCCCGCGCTACAAGATCCAAGGCGCGAAGGACAAAGTCCAAAATAGGATGAAGGACAGCAGGCCGCCTCCGAACCTGGGCTGCAAAGTGGTGAGTTGCCCACTGAGAACCTGAAGCAACTAATCACCACTTAGGGAGGGCTAAACCAAAGGCAAAGAAAAAGGAAACTCCAAGCTGTGAGGTCTTCACAGTGAGAATCGGACTCCCTTTTTGGCTGCTAAAGGAAAACCAAAGGGCAACCAACAGTTTTGAGGGACTAGCCAGCGGACACAAGACAAGATCTCACAGCTCAGAGGCCAATACACTCCCTCGGCTACAAGTCGGTGCCCTTTGCAAATGGTGGACTTCTGCACATAGGGCAATTGCCACTCTTGCAACCAACCAAAGAGGGCCGATGAAACATGAGTTTCCACTGCGCCTTTCTTCATGCGCGCCAAGACATGTTGAACATATTGGCGCTGCCTGTTGAATCTGAAGGGGAGGTTCTACCCAAAGATCAGCCAAAAGAGAAGAAAGGGTGCGACTCGACTGGGCTTTTGCCTCAATCCTCTCTCGAGGGCACTCGTTCAGGACAAGGGCATCTGATTAATCTTCTAACAAAAGGGGCCTTTAGGCCACCCAGTGCTTCCGGTTCCCATTCTAGCAGGTAACCAGGGGAACACATCATGTAAAATCTAGAGGAAAGAAACCCTGGTTACCTACTATAGTGGGAACTGGAAGCACCGGGCCAGTTTAAACACCCTTGAGTGTTCCTTGTACCATGGTCAGGGCACTCGGTTGTAACCCCTCACCATGCGGAAGCCACACACAATAGAGGCACCCTTCTCCCCACGTGGATGGACCGTCTGCGATTTCTTACTCCTCCTGGGCGCCGCGCTTGCTTGAAGCGCATATTTCAAGAAACAGCTGCCACCAATCATACTATATACTATGAATTGCTATGCGCCTTAAACTACATGCATAATATGCAACAAAAGATATTGAGCGCATGGACACCAAAAGGCTTAGACATTTAGCCACAGCTGTTGGTCAGCAGGAAAGCAATGTGAACGTTTGAGACTTACCTTGGCAAGTGTGATTTTGCACAATCAAGTGCCTCTGTTTGCTATATGGAGTCACCAGAACTCCGGTCGAGCACGGGACTACCCACCTACTAATCAACGAGAGGTCTTTCAATTCGAGAATAATATTGAGCGGAAGGTGTTGTGTTCCTTGGCCGCCTGCGAAATCTCAAGCGCCCTCGCGCCGGTTTTGTCCGTCCTGCGTTAGACAAAGACGGCTCTAAGGCTTATTTAACATTGGCCGAAGAAGCGAGGCGGGCACAGCACATGAAGCTAGCAGGCACAAAACCCAACAGGGTTGGGCCAATACCATGCCTCAACATGCTTCCACCATCATTGTTTCGACACCAGCTTTTTGGTAGCATTGCTTAAACAAGCGTTGCCCGATTCTGCAAACCAATACAAAAACCGTAAAACAAATTCAGCGTGGCTGAGATCAAAACACTTTGGGCCAATAACAGGTATATCACAATCACGTTTATCGCCAGGGGAAATCATGCTAAACTAAATGTGAGCTGCACATAACCAAATGCCCAAAAGAAGGAATACTCAAACTTCGCAACGAGAAACAGAGAACAAACAGCAGCTACTTGTGCCATAAGTCGAGCAACCGACGGTGGGTTGATTGCCCTAAGGGTTGCATGTAGAGAATCAACATGCGTCAGCAATGTCTCAGCTGTGAAAGCTATAAAGCTGAAACTTCACAGTTCCAATCATGATACAATATGACATGAGTTGATAGTATTCATCGTTCAAGAACAGGAAACACACCGGCTGGGCAAAGCAACCAACACAGTTTACGTCGGGCAAATGCACCATGCTTCTCATTCCCAAAGGCCCGCTTGTCAGAAACAACTCTCTTTTGAGCAGCGCCCAACACCAACTGCTGTTGAGCTCTAAGATGGCAAGATGGTACTAAAGATATACCTGTCTCCATGACCCTTCAAAAATGAGCCATTACCCAAAATGGAGGGGTCATGGACCTATGTGAAAGGGTCATGGAGACTCCAGGTACATAGGCTTCACTGTATCTTCATTTCAACCGGGCAGTAGAACCCCTCAATTTGTCAATCGAGGCTTTGGGCGCTCTTGCCGTGCCGTGCATGCTAAGCTTCGTAGCGGCAGTGGCACTTGATGCAAAGCCGCACAGTGTCCCATTGCTTGGAAAGACCCGGAAAAAAGACACAGTTACCACTAAACATGGCTAAGCAGGGGAAACCGCCATATGAAACCCAGATCCCGCGGATCCCATTTACCACGATAGTAGGCAACCAACATTTGGCCCTTTGGTTTCTAAAGGGTGGCCTTGGTTACCTACAAAACCAGGGACATGGAATCACTGGGAAAGGTAAGACACTCGATTACTATAGTGGCGAAACGACTGGACCGTGGGATTTGTTGTGGACCTCCACCCTCAAAAAAAGGGAGGAACAAGCGTCGGTTTTCCTGTTGGATTTTCCATTTCAACGCACTCCCAAAAAGAGTGCCATCAAAACAAGACAGACCCTGGTCAGAAGGTTGGCTTTGGACACCTGAAAGATACGCCGCCATCGCGTTAATGTAAACCCCAGATGAATAAACCAGAACAAAGCCCTTGTTGATTTTAGTTGGCGGGCGTCCCCTATTTGTTGTGGGCTTTCACCACTTTGGGAGGGCAACATTCTTCCAGTAGTGGGACGGGTGTGTTAATCCGGGGTCAGCAGTATCTGTGCAATTTGAAGATTCGATGGCCGTGGCATTTCATGCAAAGCCGCACGTCCCTTTCCCGGAAACAACGCCGGTAGGGCAGGCTGTACATTTTCAAAAGCAGCGGCAGTGGCAGTAGATGCAGAGCCGCGCAAACAAGGACCAACCAAGAAAGCCCGCAGACCAATGCTGTGTTTCTCGAAGGGGCATGGCAAAATTGGGGCCGTCCTTGCTGTTTTGTGCGACATCGGGGTTGTCCCCCCATGCCCATACACCAACCCTGGATCAATAGTACTGACAGTCGCTCGCATCAGGACCCAAACCCCTGACAAGTGATTCAAGTAGCAGACTGACAAGCTTCAGCGCCTTCCTTCTCCTCTGTTGAACAAGAACCTGACCTCCACATATCCACATCCCTCATATGAACAAAACAAGCACCTGGCCATACGGAAACAATGTAATCTCTCACCCATATATGCGAAACAAACGAAAACAAAGCAACAGCGTCTATGCCTTGACCTTGGCTTGGCTGGCCAGCAGTGAGGGCAATTGCCCCTTTGTCTCCTCCGACTCTGCTGGTCGAGGGTCCAGACTGGTGCTGGGATCACGCAAAAGCTCAATGTGCTCGGCCTCACCAGCCTTTCCACCTCAGACACAGGGCATACAACACGAGTATGTGTCAAATCGGGGGACCCCAAAATCGTCATTGTCCTTTTGGCGTCCCTTTGAACGAGGGTGAAAAGGTGCCCCCAAGCAAATATGTCTGCTTCAAAGACACTAGGGTTGGGCGAAGATGGACTTAAACCACCAGATCCCTCTCAAAAAAGGCACCCCAAGTATGCCTAAACAACGGGTGACATGTTAAGAGGCGGGCCGGAACGGAGCAACCCTGCAGGACCGAGATTGCTCTTGTGCAAGTAATGGGCATGTCAATCTGCAAAAGATCGGGGCTCAATCATCTCTGCTTTGGGGTTTCCTTGGTGTAAATCAAACATTATGGGCTAGTTAGCACACATTGCGAAATGTGAGCCAAAGGCAAATCACGGTGATTACACCTACCCAAAGGCTGCCGACTGCTGCCTGAACCCTTCAAACAGGTGCTGTCTTAGGGCCTTGAAGTGTCCCCTAAACATGCCTGTCTGCTTTCGAGGATGATCTGTTACCTGGATTCAGAACACAAACCCATCCTATGTGGGTTCCCCTACTTTAACACATAAACGAGGTTGGACAAGAGACGCCCTCTCAGCACTTCTATCTCAGTTGGTGCCGAAACGAACCATACGACCAGTACTTTCGTCAGCTGACGGCGGTTAAGCCAATGGAAGGTGGGGCACAGGGAAATGCCCACCATGTCTCGCTTGGAGAAGGCCTAGAAATCTGGGCACAAACGTATGTTCGGAGTCTGCGTATTCAGACTACCCAAACATATAAAACAAGACACGACCAACAGGAGATACATGGAAACCTGCCTGAATTGTGGGGTGATGAACAGGTCCGGAATATATGGGTATCCTGGCAGCCTGGATCATTGCACAAACCGTCCCTTCGAGCATGACACTCTTGGGGTTTTCGGTCGGCGATTGAAAGCCAACCCAAAGGGGCTCGCCCAAAAAAACACACGCAGCTGGCTCATTTGGTCTGGGGGCACCCCACACCCAAGTCTAACTGTTTATCTTCAAAATTGCGGAAGTTGAGTGGTTTTTGAGATCGTAACAGAACTGAGTCTAATCACGTAGGAGCAAGCCGAGGGGCCGGGGATGGTCAGGCTGGTGCGCCTCACCCTCTCAGGCCAGGCAGCGAGGCTGCGTGCAGATCTGAGGCCGGCCGAGGCGCTGATGCTCGACGCTATTTCCACTGGATGATTTTGCATCGACAAATGCAACGTGCGTGGGGAAGGGCTGCCCGCAGGGTGCGGGTCTCCGGGTGTAGGTTCGTCCATTTGATCCTGAAACCCACCTCTCTACCATCCCTACTCCCTACCCCCAAAAGAAGGAGAACAAAAAGGTGCAACCCACTGGAGATCTAGGACATCATCGATGAATGCGCACTTGGCCCTGCTTCAAAATAGGGCTACACCACCCTCTGAAACGAACAAAACTGAAGCAAGAGCAACAGAAGCAAAAGAACAAATTAATAATATGAAGAATAACACAAAGAAGAAGAAGAAGAAGAAGAAGCGGGTGAACCTTCGGTTTCCCTTTTAACCACCTCCAAAAGCATGGACAAAGATCTGGGGGCCTGGGGACTGCTTTCCTTGGAAAGGCAGCTGGAGGCTGCCGTATTCACGTTGGGGTGTTTTGCACCACGCAGAACCAAAGGGCACGATAAAAAAAAAAAAAAAAAAAAAAAAAAAACAAGACGGTGCTTGACAAGGGCTCTGGCGCCAATTCATCAATCAGGGGCCAAAGGGATTCGGAGAAAGCACCAAAATCAGCATGCCAGTGTTCCTCCCTAGTTTCTTGGAGGACCTCCCCCGGAGCAACCCTGTCAGTCAACGTGAACCCCGGAATAAACAACCCGGACATACCCGGACTAAGGGGGTGTCGGACACAAAGTGATCCGGATCCCAACTAAATGAAAATCAACCCAGGGTCTCATCTGGGCGCCCCAGTTAAACCAACCATCTCAGCCACGAGGCGGGCAGGGGCTGCTACTCCGGCCCTCCATAGGGCTCCTGGCAAACGCAGCACATGGCCCTGGCGAAATGACTGGCAATGCCTGTCTGGCGATGTGTTCAGGGACCCTCAAAATACATGTTTTCCCTTTGGTGTCATCAAAACCATAAAACGTGTACCCTCACAAAAAAAGGCACAGACCTGTACGTTGGACATGGCTCTCTATGCCAAAAACAACAAAGAAGTGACTCTGGAAGTGATGGAGGACTTGGACGAAGGAAAGGAGAGGAAGACGAGGAGGAGGAGGAGGAGGAGGAGGAGGAGGAGGAGAAAGCACGGGAGCAAGGAGGAAAACAAAGGAAACAGGGAGGAAGGGAGACACGGAGGGGAAGGAAGGAAGGAAGGAAGGAAGGAAGGAAGGAAGGAAGGAAGGAAGGAAGGAAGGAAGGAAGGAAGGAAGGAAGGAAGGAAGGAAGGAAGGAAGGAAGGAAGGAAGGAAGGAAGGAAGGAAGGAAGGAAGGAAGGAAGGAAGGAAGGAAGGAAGGAAGGAAGGAAGGAAGGAAGGAAGGAAGGAAGGAAGGAAGGAAGGAAGGAAGGAAGGAAGGGAAGGAAGTGGAGGGAGGGAGGGAGGGAGGGAGGGGAGGGAGGGAGGGAGGGAGGGAGGGAGGGAGTGAGAAAGGGAGGCAGGAGGACATGAGGAAGGGAAGCAGGAGGAAGGAAGAAAGGAAGAAAGGAAGGAAGGGAGGAAGGGAGGAAGGGAAAAGAAACATCTCCTCTATCATTTGCCATGTTTTTGGTGCATTTGCAGAGCATCCATGAAACGCCGAGCGCCAAACTCATCACGAGGGCTAATTTTGGCGGTGCCTCATATGAGAATAGTTGTGGTCTCAAACATTGGGAGCAACACAAATGGGTAGAATCCATTCGACTGCCAAACCGCGTTTCCCGCCTCGGCGACACCGGGCGCACCGCCGGCAGGTTCCGGGCACGGCGCCGGCGGTCGGGGTCCGGGATGGTTGGGGCAGAGCCGGGCAAGTCCAAGCTGAGGTTGAAGCTCTGCACGTGCAACCTGGGTCAGACATCCATCTCTCTGTCAATACCCCAAGCTGGGTTTGTGCCTGAGAGGACAGCAGCCAGACCTGAGATCTGGGGTTACCAAGATAGATAAATATAAGCTCAAGAAGCTATGGGTGTGTCCTTTTTCAGGGCACCACCAAAATGGTGCTTGTCCCTCTCCCCCCTTTAAAACAACCAATGAGGTACCCTCAAATCAGACACTGTACCAGCGGGGTATATATGCATACGTATATATTCCATATATATATATATATGCATAAAAACTAACATATATATATATATGTATATTTGCATATATATATATACATGTGCTACCTCTCCCCCCCTTCCGGGAACCCCCCCCCCCAAACCCACTTTGAAGATGCAGGTGCTGCAGAGCAGATCCTTTAAAGGCCTTTGATATAGTGGTCAAATACGTCCTGAAGAACGGCCTGACTTGAATGCAAAATATCGTATATAATTCCGAACAAGTTCTCTTGTTGGATTAACAAGAAGAGACAACAGGATCCAATTGATTTATGACTCTGTTCCAATGAGACTCGTATTTAGAAGGCATTCCAATTTAAAAGTACTATCTAAAATATAATGTCCAAGTAGCTTCTATTAAACCCTAATGAGAATCCTACCCACAAAGGATTTTCCCATTTAGAGTTATCTTCGAAACCAGCTCGCGCATTTCGACTCGCTCACTCAGACAACACATGAAGGCAAACCAAAACACAGCGCCTCAATGACAGCCAAAAGCTTCTGGCCGCGGCCAATGCTAAGCGATTACAATTAGATTCTACTAAGATTCTAACAAAATTCTAAACAAAACACACTTCCTGTTTAACTTCCAATTGAATAAAACATAATTGGAAGGAACACATAGCTTGTCTTTCCTCACGGGTGTCTATGCCAATTCTGGTAAAATCCTACTTGCTACTTGGAAAGGAATTTGAGCTTGATATGTAATCTAGATCAGAATTATCGATTGTGCACTCCTTTTGAGAGGCAGGCAAATTACCAGAAAACGCGAGGAGAGACGCTTGCAGTTGGCCCGCTCCCCAAGCCGAAAAGAAATGAAACCTGCAAAAACGAAAAACCAAACTACTGGAAAACCGAGGCTCATGAAACAGTGCTTCGAACCGGAAAACCCCGAAACCAAACAGAAAACCAAGGTGTATGAGACAAATGCTGGAGGCAGCTACCCTTCTTCTGGAGGATGCTGGTTTTCTGGTTCTTCTGTTTTTGCTGCTTTGTGGCCCTTCTTCATGAGGACCCTGGTTTTCTGTCCTAGGGAGAATTCAACCGGTTCATTCCCCAAAAACCTGTCATTTTGTTGCCGAGAACCCGACAAGATGACAATCATGTTGCCATGCATGTTGCCATGTTGCCACAATTCAATAGCCAACAAATGGCCAGGGGCCTGGTTGATACAGGCTGTGGCCCAGGGTCATCAAACCTGTCCAAAGTGAGAGCGGCATCCATGTTGAGGTGCGCAACCTCCATTGGTAGATATGCTCAGCTTCACCCTATTTGGTGGTTTGGAGCCTGGTGGTCTGGGGGTGTGGCTTGGGCGGTTTCCCATTTGCCCTCTACAAGAAGGGGTTCCAATCCGAACCACCAATGCAAACCACCAACTAAGGGTTACCTGACTTTAACATGCAGCCAAACAACAACGTACCTGTGAATGCCAAAGTGGCCATTTCCCACGACCGCTTCAAAACGTGGTACTTTGTTTCACGAACAAGCGGCTCCAAAAACATGCTTTCTACAACCGTGAGCCTGTGCCCAGAAGAAGATTGCAAACCCATCCAACCCCCACCTCTTCCCCCTAATCCGAAGTCTGAGGAAAATTCAATCTCTCCCCTAACACGGCCCCCACCCCTCTGATTCCCCAAATACAAAGACTAGCAAGGCCTTGCGTTGGAAACCAGGGGAGTAGTAGGTAGATCCTACTTTACTCAGGGGTTGAAGGGAAGCCACCGGGTCCCAAAAGAAATTTGGAGCCCTCAATCGCTACAAATTGTCCATTTCAAGGGGAAGTTCTCTGGCGCAGAAGTGGGGTGCACAAGTTACTTCCGCAGAGACCAAATCAGCTGGCCGAGCCGCGTTTTGCTGCTCACACCTGAGCCGCCAGCCCCTCGTTCGGGGCTTTGCCACGTGCTCAAAGGGCAGCTGGCGGTGAAGTCCCCGAAATTGTTCGAGGAGATTCGCCTCGCCCCGAACTTGTTGCAAGGGAACATGCAGCAAACGCGACTCACCTGAGTAGCTTGGCCAGAAAGTACAAACTCTCTGTTTGCCACCAAGGTGTCTTCCCACAAAGAATGGAAGTCCAAAAGCTCGGGGTCTGAGGCAAAAAGGCAACAAGTCGACAAGGCTGACTAAGTCGGGCAAAGAAACCACAAAAACAACTCCTCCAAATAATGATGACACCTGGATGCTTGGAGAAAATCATGAAATCCGAACATTTGGATAAGTCAACACCACCCACACCACATGCCCTGGTCACAACTCCTATGTGGTTCATTGGGGTAGACCTCCCTATGGTGCTTTAACTGTGACACACGCAGAATTAATCAAATCATGAGCAGGTGATGATGGCTGTGTTTGATGGCCCATATAAATGTAGTTTCTGCCGTGTGGCAGCTGAAGCGAGCAGAATTATTTTGGTCAGAAGGAAGGACATGGAGCAAATGGCAGGTTTGCGGGAAAGGTTTCTTAAATTGTTGAGGTATCCTCAGTTGGCCAAAGCCAACCTTTTGACTTTGAATTTCCGGCTTTGGTCCATGCTTGTGTCATGAGGCTATCGCCCCTTTGCATCCAGGTGCTTTCGGCAAGTGCGTATCCCGTTGGTGCGGGCTTGGAATTTGAAGACCGTTAACAAGCCATATACCTCCGGCTTGATCTTCTGGATGAATACGAGGCTCAGGACCGTGCCATTTGGCTAGATGTGTCGAGCATTTGAGGCAAAAACCCTGGGTGCAGTTTAACTGGACCTGTCTCCAACTCATCCAGTCGTTCTAAAGTTAACCCCGGATTAATAAACCCATGTTTGATTTCCCCCAGCCCCGAGCCCCGGCCCAAGCCTCCCAAACCACCCTGAAGGCTCCGAACAGGTCCCTGAGCTTCCGAGACCAACCCCAAACCTTGGTTCTCTGTCTTGAGTTGGTCCCCCCCTCCTTTCCTGCGGCTTGAACTGGAAACCGACAAGGAAAAACGAGGCAACGCAGCTGTCACCACCTAACTTCGGCCGAGCTGCAACGCTTCCCTGGCGCACATTCCGCGTGTCTTTAGCGTAGCGAGGATGTGGTGGTTGGTTCAAGGGGAACCGAAGGTTAAAAACGAAATCCATTTTTGGGGTCCAGATCACTATTTAGACACTTGGCTGGAAGCCAACAGGGCCGTGCTGCTAGGCCAAAACCACATTCAGGCAAAGCACACAATCATGCGGTGAAGCTGAGACCCACATGTGTGTAACCCGTTTTGGCCGAACAGGGGACTGTGAGACCATGCTGTTTGACTATGAAAATTGTAGTATGCCCGCTGTTCGAGTGAATCTGTGTACTTCCAGCTCTTGCTGGTCTGTGTACTCATAGGTACACAATAAACTAAGGCAACTATTATAGGAGTCTATAACCAAACAAACAACATGAACAAAATCAAACAACCAAAACCTAAACACAAAACAGGGCCCAAAAAGCAATCCTCATACAGCCTTTCCACTGGCCACTTCACAATTATGATACTCATGTCCAGAACTTTGACACATCATCGTGTACATCACACTCTTTTGACTACAATGATCCAAGCAATATGTATGTATACATATATATATATATACATATATATATATATGTATTGACACATACGCCGGGTGGCAGCATATTATTTATATCAAGGAATGAAATGCTCAAGAACTTATACACATATTATGTACTTACATTGGTATACATATATATAGACTAAACTTAGCGCAGCATGGTTTGACACAATGCTCAATTAAGGAGATATCAGCTAGTACCCCTTCTAGGATCTCCACCCTATGCCATTCACCGATATTTACGGTGAACTTGCATATGTGATTGCCTGAATCTAGCTTAAACAGTGGTTTCCTGATATATATATATATATGTACATGTAACAGGCACTCGCATTTACAACATGCCACAAACAAAAGTACTAAGGCTACACCCACAACTGCAAGTTGACCTCTCTCGCTTATTATGTGTTTCCAAGCGAGGAATTATGTAGCTAGTAGGAAATTGTGTTTGTCGCCAAGAATTACAATTCACGTAACAGTTATGTTCATGTTACCAAGGGAAATATGTAACCAAGCGGGTTACCAATATTTTGGCATGAATAAACAACATACAGTGACAAATGGTATAACAATACACAATGTAGCGTTTTCGTGCCGATACGAAAGGACAACAACTCAGGAACGCAAGACGAGTACCAGTGCAAGTCTGGGGATATGTGTGGAGTGTGGGAACCGGGGGCTAAGCCAATCCTAGGGCTTGACCGGAAAAGCGATAATGGGAACCCTCGATTTCTCAACCCCAGTTTATTTATTTGGGGGTCTCCCCCTTCAAAAGTGATGATTTCCCACACCCAGGACACCCACAAAAAAATACACTGGGGTTGATTAATCTAGGGTTCCCATTATCCGGATACCACTCTAATGAACACCCCATCAAAATCAACCAGCTTTAGGCTTTGGCGTGTGCCTTCAGCTCTTAGATAACCCTTGGGGTTGAAGGCTTCACCATAATTTCCAAGGTTTCTCGAGGTTGCTCAAAGTTCCCTTACGTTTCCTTAGGGTTTCTCTGGGTTTACCAGGTTTACCTTTGGGTTGCTGATGGTTCCCTTGAAATTTATCACGGTTTCCCAAGGTTACCTATAGTGGTCGAAGGAAAGCACTTGGACTGATTCAAGTTGATGCGGCCGTGGCCCGGCTGATGGCGACTTTGGCAATGGAGCACGACACAGGCGGTAAGAAGATCACGCTTTTGACCGAGTTCAAGAACACGGTCATGGGCCTGCAATGAAGCTTGCGAGCTTTCTTGTTCTTGCCCGAAGATGAACTCCACGCCTTGTTTGATCCTCAGGTTATTCCATGCGGTGCGTGCCGCTTCAGACGAGCCCGTGAACAGGTCCACATAGAGCGCGTCTCGCTGATGGCCTTGCGCCTGTCCCAATATTACATTTTGATGAGGACCGGCCACGGTTTCATGCTGGTTGGTTGCCCTGTGAAAATCGACCAAAATCCACATTCCATGGATCTTGTGGAACCAGGATTGAATTTAGGCCTGACCACGTGGAAGGTTATTTGTTTGCGACTCATGTTTCTTCAGGGTGACACCTACAAGTCGAAAGTTGGAAAGAACGAACCGACAAAAATATGAAACCTTATCCAAGGGGGCCGAAGGTTAATTAGTCTTAGTAACTGACGACTCTGCCGGTGAGCTCAACTTAACTTGTAGCCGCATCTCCTTGGACCCCTCTCGCGATGGCTATGGATGTCTTTTTCAACCCTGGCGATGCCTTTGCATGGAATATCCTGGTTACCCACTACAGTGGTAACTGCAACCGGTTACCTTGCGGTGGTTGACTCAGCTCCCAACCGATTAATTCGATTGCCCTGGCTCGCCTGTCCAATACACAGCAATCTTGAATGACTGACCAGGCTGCCCGTCTGGCATCCCCAAGGCAAGGTCACAGGAAGTGGCAACCCGAACCCAACTTTCCACCATATGGCTGTCCCTTTTTTAAGAGTACCTTTCTTTTACATTTAAAGGGAAACCAAAAGAAACCAACATCATTTTAGAGCTACGCGTCAAGCCATTGCCTCCCCCGCCTTGCACTTTGCGGGGCAGCGCCAACCTCGTAATGGGAAGCCCGGATCTAAGCAGAAGCCCTGGGTCAGTTTCACCAGGGTGCCCCAACTTTTCGTGGGGGTTCAACCCCCCTTTTGCACTTCGGACATGCACTAGGCTCACAAGTGGCGACTTAAACTCCAGCTGACTGGTCAGCTAATTCCTGCGTGGGGCGGAAACACAAACTCCGGCTTTGTTGGCAAAGGACATCCTTCCATGTCTAGTTGGTTCATTTCAGATTCTCAAACAAAATGGAAAAACCGTGGTATCAAGCCTTGATGGCAACTGACCCGTGTTTGTGTTGTGGCAAACATTGCTTGCAATGCCAAAGTAATTGATTTCCCATGCCCATGACCAGAGTGTCAAAAAGCGATTGTCAAAATCCGGGGATGGATCACCTTTCCCCTATCCTTAATTCGTAGTGGGGCACGACAAGGACCATCTGACTTTGAACAAAGCACGGGTAGAAACTGACAACCTAAATCCATGTTCAACATGCTTGTCTTCCTGAGGCACCCAACGTGCCTTTGTTAGGTACGAGAAAAACGCGCTCGAAGACCCCCCAAAAAAGCGCGCGATCCCTGAACAAAATGCTCGATCAAATCACCTTATTCCATCTAGAGGAAGGCGGTCATTGTTACGTTGTTTTTTTTGTATAATGCCCTCGTTTGCGGATATGTGCGCTCGTTGAGGATATTTGCGCTCGTTTTGCACTTTGATTTCTGCTCGCTCCTTTCAGCGACCGATCATCTCGGAGGACCGACCGGCCCGGTTTCGGGAAATACGCTCGAAGCAGGAAAAAGTGTACGTTTACCACATTTTGGTGACGACCCTTGGCTTTGCAATACGTCTGGGCTAAGGGCAGAAATTTAGGTAACGAAGGGTGCTCCAGGTTTAAACGAAACTGTCAAAATCCACGACCCGAGCAAAATAACGTATGAGGGTATGACCATGTTTCCCCTTTTGGTAGCTGTAAAATCTCACCTGTTGGTTGCGAATTAAAGTAAGCTTGCTTTTGGAGGAATAACTCGAACAAAAAGCACCACGTTTTCAAGATAATCCTTGGCACAAAGGGGGACCCGTTTCTGTCCAAATCCGAAGCTCCTTGTTGACTTCGATTTGGGAATGTGCCTTTTAGGGGACCCCAACAATTGAGCCGTTTTCCTCTTGAAGTTCCCCTTGAAACCAAAACGGGGCTTGCAACCAAAGACCGGTGGGTCATTCAAAATCGTCCGACCGAATGGGGCATTTGGACTTGGAACCCCAAAAACGGGCTGCGGTGCACTGTTGGTTTCGAAAGGCCATCCAAAACAGGGTACCCTCAACGACACCCAAATGACGGAGTTTGGGATATTCTGCCCCGTGGCTTGGAGACCCTCATGAGAGTAGAATGACAGGGCTCCCTGTATTTCCCCCAGTAAACACCCAGAAAACTCACTGTAAAAGGGCCAAACTGGTAATACTCCCTGCTAATTGGCGAGTGATGTTAAAACCACATGGGGAAAAGATGCGATTGTCTTACAACCCAGGGGCTCCCAAACTAATTAATTGGTTCGCTTTTGGTGTCCCTTTAAAACCATCTAAAGGGTGATCCGGAGAAAATTAGAAAGTCTCAGGGGTCACTGGATTTCCCCTTCAACTGTTGCAATTCTTACTTTTGGATTCCTTTGAAACTGCGATTGTTTGGAGGTCCAAAACAAAATGAAGGGATCCGTGAATGAAACTCTGAATGATGAGACCAGCATGGATCATCTTGGTTCGGCACCTCCTCCAGTTGGATCCGCGCATGCGGCGCCGTGCCGCGGCGCACATGCCGCCGGCCTCAAGTGAGCAACTTTTCCCTGCCAAACTCTGGTGCCTGAAAAAGAACAAACAACAAGTTGAACAGAATGAAACCAAGCTTTCAGCTTTCATAACTTTTGAGGAAATCCTGCCTATAATTCACACACATCCAAAATGAAAATTCCCCCGAGTCACCTTCAAGCCTTGGCTTTCCTCAAGCTCCAAAGTCAGCCCAACCCTGTAGCTACCCTATGACATCGGTTGTTGGTGCCCTCATTTCCTTGTGGCGGCCCCCACGTCATCCCGATGTCAGTAAAAAGTTGACCGTTGCCCCTTCTCGGAAAATAGGGGGGGAACATTTCTGTGTTTCCCTTTTGATCAAGTCAAAGGCTACCTTGAACAAACACACACCCATATGTGTTTATTATTATTATCATCATTATTATTATTATTATTATTATTATTATCGAGGGTCCCCTTGTTTCTGGATTGAAAGTGAAACCGACAGAAAACCACCGTTTTGGGGTCCTCTACAAAATACAGACACCATATGAAGTAATCGACAATACCACCAGAAACTGACACTAAGCCCTTGTTGCTAATGATAACTTGGGATGAATCGGGACCGTACCAACCAGCGGTGGCTCCCTTTCATACAAAGGACATACACAATTATTTGTTTATTCAGTGTTTTTCGGGGAGGAGGTCCTTGACAAGTAGAGTCCGGATTAATCCCAAGTTGACATGAGGGCCATTGTGAGATGTTTCACCGTACCCGTTTTGTGCTTCCCCAGCGCTCACACCTTTCCAGAACCACTCACGAGCCACTAGGCCCCCATCCAAGCTGAAAGTCCAGCTGGGCAACAGAGCCACGGAACCCTCTAAGGGCACAGCTGGCCGGCTCCGGCGCATGTGACCCTGGCGGGGGAGTGGGTTTTTGGGGTGCCATGATAATAAAGCCTTCTGTAGGCTTACTTTGGAAAAGCCGTTTTTTTGCCCACAGCTCGTGACGGGGCGATTTGGTCAAAGCCAAGTTTGGGGCTGGAGGGAGGTGGTCCCGCCTCTGTCCAACGTTGTGGGCATCGAGCTTCCAGGTCCTCGCGACAAGTGGGGTCGTGGGGTTGAATTTCCCGCGAAATGGGTGTCATTTTTCAGGGGACCGCCCTAAATGAGTGGTTGTCCTTTTGGGGTTCCTTTAAAACCGCTCAAAAAGGTACCCTCAAAATTAGACATACCCAAAGGTGGTTAAATCATGGTTTAATAAACTCAGCGGGTATGAGTCAAAAAAAGGGATTCGGAACCGAACAATGGATTTTGGTTCCCTTTGAACCAAGCTGATAATTGTGCCAAGCACGAAGAAGAACGCACACCCAAATGGCAGTTTTGACTCAACCTCACAAATATGAGTTCATCGAACATCGGTGACTCAGCGGCAGGGCCCAAGGTCGCAACCCCTCCTTCTGTCTGTGGCGCTGCTGTGTTGTTCCCCAAAAGCCACAGCTGGGTCTTGGCGAAGCCATGGGGCGGTTCCGATCGGCAGTTTCCAGGGAGGCTCCGGGAGTACTTCCAGTTGAAACAAAAGCCCAGGCGGTATCCACCCCGGCAGAGCCGCTCCGGACCCCTTCAGAGAGATCTGGGCAGATACCCCATAGCTTTCATGTTTAGGAACAACACTGACCAACAGACCCATCCCCTGCGCCCATCGGGTCGTCCACTCATAAAACCACCCGGCAAAGCTGGAAAAGAAAAAAATACCTACTCTGGGATATACAATGAATATAGAGCGAGTATGCCTCAAACTAGCCGGTTGCCAAACAGAATTGCACCCACATGTGCCATGCGTGGCTTATTATGGTCATGGTCCCCCAAATAGAAACCCGTACTACTGTCTAAATTCGAGTACCTGCCAGCTTGCAAGTAAACTCTTTTTGACCACGGCCGCGTGTCTCCACCCATCGCCCGCCTTCAAGTAAGGTTTCACAAAGGTCCAATCCGTCGCCAGTGGCTTCCAGCTTTGATGCTGGCAGCTCATCAAAACCTGAGTCTGAACATGGATCAGCTGAGTTTTGACGAGGGCCTCGGGGCGCGGTCCCTTTCAATGTGCATTTCACCCTCTTCCCCCTCTTATCCCTTCCCCCCAAAAAACAAGCGCCGCCCTCCCTGCCCCTAATACAAAGGATGACTTCATTCCGATTCATTCCCCTAGGATGACTTTTGGCTTTGAAGTAATTCCCTGGCAAACTCAGTGCGCTTATTGCGGTGGCCACGACTTTGACCCCTGCCCCCAACCCGCCCCCCCTCAGGCCCAGGAGCAGTCTGCATCCGCTGCGTCCGGTTCACCTCCGCACGGCCCGAAGGAAAACCACTCGGTGGGTGGGAGGCCGCTGAACACCCAAGGGGAGGCCCTCCCATGGCCGTTTTTGAGGCCAAAAGGGGGCGGAAGGTCGGGAGCTTTTGAGCCGTCCCAGGTAGTGGAACAGGGTCTTCGACATCTCCCCCCCACTAACATAGCATTCACCAGAGGCTCCCTGGTAAATCTAGCGAAAGATCCAGCAACAACCAGCCAAATCACCCAATAGGCAACATTGTTTAATGAAGGGCATAATGAGTCCCTGCCAGCAACACAAACGCCAATATTGAATAAATGCTTCCGAAATGAATCGACCCCTGAACCACCCAACCAAGCAAGCAAGCAAGCAAGCGAGCGAGCGGGCAAGCGAGCACGCCGGCAGCAGTCAGGCCATCAATCAGACAAGAAGGAAAGCAAGCAAACAAGCAGCCAAGCCACCAACCAAACGCCAAAAAAGAAACCCCTGACATCTCAGTCGAATACAAATAAAAACATCACAACCCTGATAAGTGAACATTTTGAATGGATCCCTGACCCCAAATGGTGCACACCAACATTTGGGCGGAGCCCGATTCATGTCTGCCAACCTCTTAAACGTGAGGCTCCCGACAAGGATCTGTCTCCGAACAAAAAGTGAACGCACCAGCTGCAAGGTCTCAGAACATGAGTCCATAAGGCGACCCCCGTACACCCGGACTCCCCAGAAGGCTTGCGCCTTCACAGTTCAGCGACCCCGGTGAACAAAAAGGGAGCCCTTTTGAGGTAGACCATTTCTTGTCGAAAACCCACAGTGGTTGCAGGGTGCTGACTTCGCGCCTGCAACTGCTCGCTCGTCCGCGTCGTGAGCAAAGGTGGCCTCGGCAACTTTTTCCTGTGTCTCCAAACACCCCACCCCTATTGAAAGTCCCATCATTCTTACTCAAAACAAAGCCTCTTGTTTTGAGGGTACCAATTTGGAGGTTGGTTCAAAGAAAGACACAAGGCAAACAACCATGTTAGGGGTACCCCTATTCTGAGACAATCCCAGATCGCAGAACAGCCACGTCGGCCCCCTTCTCCCCATTGGCCCCTTAGACGGACATTATTGTGGGAGGACGAAATCAACTTCGCGCAATTCGTCATTGGTGGTTTAGCCCAATGTGAATAGGGTCCATTCATCCGAACTGGTGCGAACTTTGGAACCAAGCGGCTGCTTTTAAAGCACCCATGAAAGAGGGCAATTGGATAGCCCATACCCCCGGCGAAGATGAATTGTGTTTCCAGAGGCACCTTGCAGCAAGTGCTGAGGGAGGGTAATTGGTTCTTCCCCCAAAACAACAATTGTAGAAAAGCTGATTTCTCTATATTCTCCCTTCTGGTTATGTGGACAATTGCCCATGTTTCCTCACTTTGAGGTTCTGAGCAACAGGGGTTGACCCGCTCCAAGTCTACCTCCAACTCACTTCCTGAGTAGATTGTAGCTTGCTCAGAGAAAAGTACCAGACTTCTTGTTTACCACCAAAATGGCCCAAACCAAAAAGTGCCCAACGTCCGAAACGGAACGAAACAGGAGTGAGCCATGGGTGAACCCCCACTCCCGCCTCGTGCCACTCTGGCTCAAAGGAAAGTGGCCTGGACTCTGCCTCGGTGCTCAGCAGGGAATGAGGGCACCCAAAACAAGGTTCATTCCCCAACTTCTTGATTCCCTGTTGAGAACAAGCAGGTTTCGGCCCCCGGAAACTTCATATCCAGTAGTAGGTTCCCTTTAACACCAAGAGGGAGAAACATGATATAAACTATTCTTAAGACTTAAGACAAGGGCTGCTTGGTGGTGTGGATTTTTAGCTGGGGGGTTGAGCACCACCTTTCGGGAATGGAATCCCAGACATAACCAATCACAAGAGTCATTCAAATTCCCCCCCAAACGGAGCACCTCTTCACCTGCAAGGCCTGCAAACCAAATGTGCCTAGAGGAGAATACCTGTTAGCCGACTGTAGCGGAAAAGCAAACAGGAAGAATCCACGGGCTCGAAGGTTGGCCAATCCGATGATCAACTCGTCAAACGCAGTGGCCATCCGAAACGTGCAAAAAAACATGACATCCTTCTGGGGTAGTTGGGGTGTCTGGGTAATGGTCTAAGAATCTACTGTACCTCGGGCTTTGGATCTTCAAGACCCATCTCCTGTTATCACCCTCGCACACGGCTACGAGTGGATATTGGATCAGGATCATCATGGTTCTGGTCTCAGGGTCTGAGTGATTGGACGGCAAAATTCCGTTTAAAGTGCAGGAGATGATTGAACCAATAGGCTGATCAACTGCCAGCGACTTTCACCCAATGTTACATCCTTAGGAGGTACAGGGTAGCAACATCATCCCTACCGAGTAAAACTCACTTGCCGGTTGGCCCAAAACGGGCTGTTTGACGTCGGTATGGGTCAACATTAAACCACAAGCGCAGGTTTCAGTCCTTGGTTCCATTTACCAGAGTCCCATTTCGGCGCCGATACTTTTGTTTGACCCTCAGCCAGGCACCCAGGCCGCTGCTTCAAACACCCAAAAACCTTCGCCCAGGCGACTCGGCGACCGAAGACACGATTTCACTTCAGGTCCCCGAGCGTGCGTGGGCCGGGCGCGGGAGCTGCGCCGGCGCGCCTCGATATGAAGGTGGCGACCACCTTTGGTTCTAGGGGTTGATTCCTTTTCCATGCGTTTCAGCCATCGTTCTCTTCCAAAACCAGCCATTTCTGGTCTTTGGTGGTTTCCTAGAAGAAGGATCCCTGGAAAGAATGGGAAAGTCCATCAAAGGTGTTTAAAGGAAGCCAAAGGGTAAGGTTCCCATCTGGTGAACGACACCAGATGGAGTAATTAATTTGATTGCGTTTCCAAGAGGCTTTTTGGGGGGGGTTCGGGTTCACACCAGTCATTGGAGGTCCCCGCTTTTTCGCGCCCAAGGGACGGTTTTGCCCAGACCCGCCGATTTCCATGGGAAACAGGTGTGCTTGCTCCCTGAAACCAAGGTAGCTTTTTTGGGAGGGCTAGCGTTGAGCAAGTAGTTCACCTCCTTGTTTGGGATCCGCTGAAGGTCTGAAACACTCAGACCCTGGCCCAAGGGAAACACTAGACTCGGAAGGTGTACAAAGAAACAAGCCCAGGTGGGCAGACGAGTAAGACATAAACGAAATGTGTGTTGTGCACCACGTGCATCAGCAACCGACGATATCAGCAGCAGAAACCGATAAGGGCCTACCCAAAACCGAGACCCACCAACCCGCAAAGCCGGCAGGTACAGCCCACCCAATACCGCGCCGGTAGTCCGTCTTCGCAAATGAGGGTTTATGTCCAACCAGGGTTGGGCTTGTGGAAGCAATCAGCCCCCTCCTGGCCTCCTGGCCTCCTGGAAGGAGCCAAAGCTCTATTAAACGGGTTCTGATCACTTGCGCCATACAACGATGTGTGTAGTGTAGCATCCTATCCATGTCTTAGCTTAGAACCATCTCGGGTCACCCGAAAGGGCCGGTGCTTTCAACGAACTGGACAAAGCTGAATCCGGCACAGCGCAAAGAGTTTGAACTGTCGGCCATTCGGGGTTTCCTGGCTTGGGTCGGAAAAAACTTCACAAAGGCACAACACAACTGAAGAACAACAATATTGGTGCACAAGTGTCACAGGAGGCATACTTAGTCTAGCTTTAAAAATATATGTATATGCACAGTTGTGAAGAGACCCCAGCACTGACCCCTGCATCCGGCACAAGCTTGTCTGTCGTCCCCAGCCTGCTGCTCAGGATTTGCCTGCTCTGGATGAACCTGCGACGACAATAGGAAAGCCACCGAGGAAAACCTGGGTTGGGTTTACCTGGCTTCCTGCGTGGATGGTCCTGAACAAGTCAGAACTTTTCGTTACAACGAATATGAAGGAGTGAGTTAAGACACCATGCTTTAAACCACCACCTGTGGTTTTCCTTTAGGCGACTTGGGCATCGTTGTTCAAACGTGCGCAAATCAGGAACCGTAAGAAGAACCAAAAAGGGAAACCGAACACCCGAATTCCGCACCCACCACCAGCTTGACGGACACTGAATTGAGTGACGGGTTGCTTGGTTTGTATGGTCCATTGTATGGTCCTTCGTCTCGTGTGGTAAGCCTCGGCCGAGGGTCGAAAATGCGCCCGTACCGAAGTGTTTCTTGGGATCTCCAAACTCTTCTGATTTGGTCTCCAAACAATAAACAAATGTTTGATTCTGGTCCACATTTAGTGAACCTCGACCAACACGAGATTCCAGCCCTGATGCATCCCTCGATGCCTTTTAATGACAGGGGATGGCTTTAAGGGGAAACAAGGCAATCCAGCGGCCTCCCCCCTGGCAAATATGGCTGCATGTACCCTTCATGTGCCCTATGCTTTTTGGGCTTCTGTGGTATTTACGGACACCTCCCCATTCATGACCCTAGATGCTACTGAAACTCCCCGTCTCAACAGCGGTCGAATCAAAAATGAATGCGCGCCTCGGCCCTTTCCAGCGACGGCGGTGAATCTGCCGCCTCCAAAAGGGCTGTGTCAAAGGAGAGGGTGACCTGCCGAAAGCTGACCTGCCGAGCGCAGAAGCTTGAATCATGCACCTCGGCTTTTGGGCGCTCCCCCCAAAAAATCCCGAGGCCATGTTGATAGCCCTTGCAAGTTCCAGTTGAACCCCATTCGCAAGTAACCAGGCATGTTTACCTCTGGGTTCCACATGAGGGCTTCCCTCCGTTATCTACCAGATGGGGTAACTAGCACTGGGCTTAGTAAGGCCTTACTAAGGGGATCAATAAGTGATACGCTCCTCCCCATAGCCCCGATTGGTCCAGGAAAGTTTGCCCCACTAAGTGCCAGGGTCATAAAAATAATCCTACCACGCCGCCACACACACAAACACCGATCCACATATTGGTCTATTTCAGTATTCCCCAAGGATGTGTGTGTGTGTGCGCCTGTGAATGGTCTTGTGTAGAAAATGAAGAAACCAAACAATCAACAGCTTGCAGGCAAACGCAGAAGGGTAATCTCTCTCTCCATCCTATCACAACCTCTCATGGGAAAAAACTAAAGATAGTAGAGCAGCATCCCATATTCCCACTATGATCCCCGAAGCCAGCGCATCACTATTGCAAATCGCGATTCCAACAGATTTCTTCCGTGGTGGGAGTTCAACATCAGGGCAAACTGCCAAGCTGGCTCGACTTCCAACGTCGAGCATCTCCAGCCCCCGCCAAACGCGGCCCTGTTTATATGGTTTCCCTTGTAGCCAGAATATCGCATACAAGTAAATGGATACAAAAACTGGATAGAACATGGGCCCGCTTTGGCCGCCCACAGCTTCGGCTATTGGGTCGTCAGATCAGAACTCGGGACCCGAAATGGACACATTTGATGCAGGGTGTCCACTTGAGTGAAGTAGCTCCCTAAGATTCATAGGTCGATGTGTTTTGGACGCCTCTCGTCTTTGCGGAGACGAAGAAAGCATCTGGGACTTGTTCGCGTCAGGACACCAATTGTCTCTCAGATGACCAAACTGTTGGCAGCTTTTGTGTCAGTCTGTTGGTTCGGAGGTATGCGCTTTTTTGGCTCTGCAACTCTCTCTCTCTCTCTCTCTCTCTCTCTCTACAACTCACTTACTCAGCAGAGTGCTAAGAAACAAAGAGGTCATTTACCACTAAAATGGTCTTCGGAGAAAAAAAGAGTAAGATGTAATTCACCACTAACATGGTCTTCCCATCAACTCAAAATCAGACTCTCTGCTCCTTTCCAGTCGCCTCCCTGGCACTCTCCTCCGGACTCGCGGGGAAGAACTCCGGCCTGGCGCTGGCCGAGGGTCCCACGGGTCGCCGAGGTCAAAAGTCAACGTACCCCACACCTACGAAGCTTTTCGCAACGTAGGTCTTTGCTCAGCTTGCTCAATGCTCAAACCTACCTAAATGTGTTCCCACTCCGCAGGCACTTCCTTTTGAACGGCACCAAGCGGATTTTGGACATGGGAAAAAGCCGACAAGTTGGGGGGTGATGGCTCTGTTCATCAATTTGCCACTTGGGCAAAGAAGTCTCTGATAACGTTGACGCCTGAAAGACCTGGTGAGCGCGTTTCCTGGCCCCCTAGTGAACCCAAACCTACAAGAAATCGGGTGCCTGTCAGGGGCCATGTGTTTCTCTTTTGAGGGCGAGTGGTTGCCCAAAATAGTGCAACCAGCCCCCAAAAAGCCCTAGATACTGCAAGGAAACCAAACACCTGTCAAAAGAAGAGGGCAAAATAGGGGCCCGTTGTTCCCTTTGCGATATTTAGGGCATCCGGCACTCGGTTGCTGGTGCAGCCTGAAGGTCCAAGAACTTCGTCGCTGGGAACACCATCAAATGTGGCAGATGAATCTCTAAATCCCCAAGTAGTTGAAGTATGTCCAGTGTTTTGGGCAAAGGGTATCCATATTATAAGCAACATCCCTTGGCCACTTTAGGTTGAATGGATCCAGGTACCAGCCCACAGAAGCGATGGAAGTCTGAGCCAAACTCATCCGACCTGCAAAACGTGACGACTTGCTGGCCAGAAAGCGGAAAATGCAAGAGCCCAACAAAGGGCAGCAACAGTGCTTAAGCATCCCAATGCTTCCTGGCAGGCCGCTAGTTGGTAATCAGGGGTATCCATCCATGGTAAAACCTAGAGGTAAGAAGCCTGAAGGTTTGCCTACCATGATGGTAACTGGAAGCACTGAGCATAGGCACAAGTCCATCAGTGGGAACAGAACACATCGAAAACAGAAGTCCTTTCACTGGGATTTGTTCAGTGAGGAAACCCCTCTGAAAAGTAGTGGTCATCTACCCAGTGCTTTCAGCTGCCACTATCGTAGCCCTTCAGGTTTCTTACCCTAGGTTTCAATTCTTGACTTTCATTAATCTTCCAAGACCCTGCAAAAACCGGCCTTTGGCTGATCCTCGATTCCAAGCCAAGGATCCGGCTTTTCAGCGTCCCACGGGAAGACAAGCTTCTGTGTTGGTGTCTTTTTTCGGGGCACTGCGAAAGTTCAAACCAACTTTGGCCAACTTGGCCAGCTGCAAGGCAATCGAGCTGGAAGCTCCCCTTCGGTCTTTGGGCCACAAAAAGGGCTCCGCCCAAAGAGGGTCTTGGGTGCCAAGTTAATCTGCACAAAGTTCGAATACTCGAATCTCGGGAGGGACTTTTGCAGTGATCCTTCGTTCGGAGAAACCCACCCTTCATTCAGCAGGCCGACGGTAAAATGAGAGCTTTAGGCTTTAGGTTCTCAAATTGAGCAAGGCCCCGAACCCATTGACTTGGTTCTAAGATGAAAAAACAGGTTTAGATCGGCCATAAACCAGATATTAGAACCGCCTCCTAAGTGCTGGCAAATGGGGCTGTTCGGTTCTCAAGTTGACCATCTCACTTCCTGAGTGATTTGGTCAGAAAAGTCCACATCTGTTTTTTACCGCTAAAATGGTCTTCCCGAACACTAGCTACAGTCCAGGAACTCAGTGCGCGAGCCATCTTTCCAACAATCATGGCAGTGGATCGGGGGTTGGATTCTGCCGAGCTCGTGAAAAGGCGTTTTGTCTCCATGGTTTCCACGCCCAAACCACCCCAAGGCGTTACATGACATCTGCAGCCATGTGGCCACTATGTAAGGGCTAGTGGTTGGGGGCAGTGGTTGCGGGGTAGTGAAAGTCATCTTAGATTGTCCACTTCTATGATTGTTGGCGAAAGGGTAGGAACGAACGATAAACATCGCTAAACAACAATGGTTGGTCTCATGGTCCTTTGCCTTTGAAATCAACCAACAAAGGGTTGCAATACAAACACACTCTCGTTTCAATTTCAACAACTCGGCGCAAGCCAGTGCTCTCTTCGGAAGGAGCTTAACGTGGACGCAGCAGTGGGATTCCCCTCTCCTCCCCCGATGAAAACACCCTGCAAAGCCTGATTGGAGAAAACACAGGGCCAGGGGAGTTGGAGCCTTTGAAGGGATGCATTTGCGCTACGGACAACCCCATCAATCTCCATCAACCAATTGAGTCCCCAAAAGAAAAGCATGTTCAGGCCGAAAATCCGTCACGATCATAAGTTAGTCACTCCAATTGTCAACCCTTGCGTGCTCATCTTCTGAGTCGGAGCAACCCTTTGTTGATTGCCTCACTTCCTGAATCGTTTGCCCGCAAAAAGGTCCAACGACTTCATATGTGCCACACAAGTTGAAATTTTCCAGAACAGTACACAGTCCAGTTTGAGCTGGCCCGGGATTGTTCAGATGAACGATGCCATGCACGTCTCGCCTGGCTTCTGTCTGCACCGAGCAATCCACCTGGGCCTGGCGGGTCAAAACATGTCCAAGGAACATGTCTTCCAGCAGCCACGGTCACCGAAATGTGTTGCAGGGTCGACGAAAACGAAGAGGTCTTTTTTGGGGCACGCACAAAATGACTTCGATTGTCCTTTCGGTTTCCCTTTGAAACTAACCAACAAGGGGTCCGGGCCGCCTTCGCTCTTTTTCCGAGATCTCTTTGTTCGTCCACAATGTCCCGGAAGGCGCTATATGCTGCCTGAAGCCGCGGGACGTTAAGCCCATGCTGCAGCATCAGCCGGCCCATCCGCGGGTGATCCACCTTTGAACAAATCCGAATGCTGAGCCAGCACCCTGCCATTTTCGCCTTCATGAGTATGCAACTTGCAGTTCAGCCCTTTGAGTATTTGGGCGAGCTCTCCTCCCCCTCCCCCCCACCCCCAGCCCAGGAAGCCACACTGACCATAGACCTCCAAATGTTGTGAGTTGCTCCGTTGCGTCGGGGCCTGTTGCTGTGCAAACGAAAATACCGTCCGCAACTGTGAACCAGGCCCACAACCCGAAACCGTAAACCTTGGACTTGTTTTTTTTGAAGGAGGGAACTGTTTTTAGCCCTGACTGTTTAGACGCAAACTGCCAGTAAAACAAACACACCATTCGTTTAAGATACTAGTAGCCCCCCCTACTTTGAAACGTGCTCGTGACTTTTCATCTGTTTCCACCAGTTGCCCCATCCTCTCTGCAAAAACATGCCGGGGCACGAAAAGCTTGGACAGCGCAGGTAAGGGATAGAAGGATGAATGCCAGACGTGGCCGCTGTAAATCATGAGCCGGTTCAGCTTGAAAGGCTCCACATGCACCAGCTCAAACCTCCCGGAGTGATCCTCCTGTCCTCAGATTTCTCGTGTCAGAAGCCACACGTTTAGCCATCCAATGAGAGGTGTTTTGAAATTTACGACCTCGAGTTTAATTACATGTGATTCTAAATGTTGGGTAAAACTACGGTAAAGCCAAGGAAACGGGAGGACACATTCACTACCTCCAATTATTTGATTGGTGAACCCATCTGACCCACATGCAAGTACCTCCTGAGGATAGCTTTTAGAAGTAAGTCTAAGTACCTCCTGAGTAGGTACGAAGGGACCCTCTGGGTGAGTTAAGTCTGGCAGTGAATAATGACCCTCAGTCCTTTATGTGCTTTTGGGTCCCCAGAAAAAACTATAGTGGGCCCAGTAGTGATAGATGCCCTTTAACCTGAAAAAAAAAACAACACATTCTAAAGCAAATAGAAGCTAACTACTCTTGGTTGTTCTCGAAATTGCTTTTGGGGGTGGTTTCCCCTACTTTCTTCAAAAATGGGGACCCCGAAAAAAGCCGCCCGTATGCAACCTGATCCAACCCTTTGGGGGGTGATTACCATCCAAAACGGGCACCCCCGACCTTTTCCACAACGAAGGCAGCAGTCCTTTCGAACGTCCGAGCAACGGGGCACTCGTGGCCCAGGCCACAGCCCCGCGCAGCTCTCGCAGCTCTTTGGGCAAAGGCGCAGGGTGTCCGGGTCGCGCCAGCAACCTGCGGGTGCAGTGGGTATGCAATTTTTGAGGCTATACCCTTTTGGCTGGTTTTGAAGAGAAAACGAGAAAAAGCCACAATGGAAGCCTTGACAAGTCCCAGAAAAAAAACAAAAAAAGAAAAAAAAAACTGTATCGCACGGCCCAACCCTGCGACCACACTTCAACAGCCTCGCCTCTCGCAGCCCTTTGGCTGCAACTCAAATGCGCATCTTCGCAAAGGACACAGGAAGTGGAGCCGTGTTCCTTGTGGTAGGCATCCTGATCCTGGAAATCCTGGAATCTCGATTTCGGATCAGCCCAGATTCGGGCAGTGTTTCGATAGCGAAGGCATGTGGGTGCACCTACCTCGCGGCTTGCTGGTGAAATGCTCTCAGGGTGTCTTGGCCAGGGGTCCAAAAATCGATACTCCGTGCCATACGTTGTCTGCTCATCACGAAATGAGGGACCCCAGGTATGTTCTTCGTTTCTCCGGGCTTCCAAAGAGAAGGCAACAGTTCCAGCCAAAGGCAAGGCCTGAGGCACCCTTTTGTGGAAATTGCAGGATTCCAAATGACTCGCTCTCCACAAGGAAGTTTCCTGGTAAAGTGGCGTGATGAAGCCCAAACATCCCGCGCCACCTTCGAACTCCAACGCCCAAAGAGTGCCTAAACCAACTTTGCACTGCCAGGGGCAATCAAAACATGTCTGACTCTGCTCCATATGTCGACCGTTCCTTGGTGGGGAGTAGGATCGATCAGTTCGATGCACATCACCCTCCCTAAAATCTTGTTTTGGAGAAGAGAACGAATTGGGGGTTGGGGGTATATAGGCCTCACTCTCGGCCCCCCCCCCACAAGATAGTGAGCACAACCCGCACCGAAGGTCAAGGACGAATCGCTAAGTTGTTGACTCACATGCTGAGCGGCCAAAGAAAAAGACACGTCACCAAGCTTTTTGTTTGCCATAACAACAAAAGTCCACGAACTCAGGGAGTGACGTAACATAAGTCGTAACCCACTTACCCTGGTGTAAGTTGCCATGGGTCAGGACCCTCAGTTCCACCGCCATGGGTCCACCGGCATTCTATTTGACAGAAGGCGCCAAGCGACCAAAACCAAACTTATCGGGGCGGGGTCCGCAAGTCTGAACAACACACGACCCCTTGTTGGCAACTTCCGACACATGGGTGCAGAAAACAACAGCAACATACCAGCACCTGCTCCAAACCACTGCGTTTCCCATGTCCAAAATCCTAACTACTGTCCAAAAAGCAGTGGTTGAAGGGTGCCGGAATTGCCTGGTTCTGCTTCGCATCTAGCGTTGCGAGTGCTTCCAGAAGCATGCATGGTTTCCCTTGATCACGTATCCCGGCTAACTGGAAGCACTGTGTAGCAAACAATACGCCCTGGTAGCCACAGCCCCGGACCCCCCAGGAAGCTTCCTTTTTGAACCCTCCCTGAAAGCCCCAAATCATCCCACGACGATTTCTGGACCTATCGACCCCAAAATGCTTTCAGCTGGGAAACTCACCACCCAGATTGGACCCAGAAATTCAACACGACCTTATGTGGCCTTTTGGATTGGCTGTTTGGATTTCTGCGTAGGGTTGCAGATTCCCCGTTCTTTTTTTTGGGTGAAAACCATGCGACAACAGAAAACCAGGTGATGAACGGGAAAAAAACGGCCACTAGGAACCCCAAGAGGTGAGATCCGGTTGATTCGCAAGTGCGGTCGGATGGGGTCCTCAAGGCATTGGTCCAAGTCCTCCCCCACGCACTCGCCTGGCCCTCGCTTGGACCTCGCTCTCAAAAGAAAACTCCGAAAAACATGGTGCTTCCCTTTGAAGCAACCCCCAAATTTAGGTGTGTCTTGAAATAGGGGATCCCCATGGTTGGTTTCTCAAGCCAACCAGGAGGGCGTTCCAACCAACAGACACACCCTTGTTGCACCCCTACGAACCCCCGACGAATCCAGCTAGAAAGCGAACCATTAGGAACCATCCACTAACATGGTCAAAGGGGATGTTGGGCACTCAAATGAAGGATACCAGCAAGCCCCAAAGCCTTTAACAAAATCTAGGGTGTCCCTTTTAAAGCAAGGACCAACTTCCAAACCACATGGAACCTAACAAAAATTGAAGTTTAACCGCTTGGGTGGATACCTGGCAGTAGGGACCTTTTGGAACAAAAAAATGGCTCGGGTAAATGGGCAATAACCCAGCCAATGTTGACCCCAGATTGATCAACCCCAGCTTATTCATCTGGGTGTTCTCGTCCAAAAGCGATGAATCCCCACTAAACCTCGGGACATGCCCCCGACTAAAAAAACAGGGGTTTATTACTTCGGGGTCAACCTTAAGCCAGTGCAATCGACTTTTGCATCCAAACTGAACCAAGGACACCTCTTTCAGCCGGGCCTGTAGAAGGCGGTGCCAGTGTCATTGAAGCCCGCGCTCAGGTGGATGTTCACCACTGCCAGCTCCCAGTCGATGTGCACCAACGAGATCTCAGGGATGAGATCTACAGTGCTGGAGGACAAAAGCTCAAGTGAGCACCAAAATACATAAACAAATCCACAGCGCAAATACGTACATGAACTGAATCAAATAAAGCAAATAAACAATACAAACTACAAGTAAACACATAACAATAGGAAAAAAAAAAAAAAAACAATCAACCAACTAGCTATATGAATTGCACAATTCCCCCCTCGGCTTTTGTGTGAGATCTAGTGAGTCCCACATGTCTCTCCCGCGTGGACCATAGGCTTCTGGATATTTTAACCAAACTTCATTTGGTTCGACTGTTCGCCTTCGGCGGCATGTTCTGCATGCTGAACACTCCTTGGCCAGACTTAGTCCCCGCTCACTTGCGAGGACATGGAAACAAAAGCGCTTAACCTTCTGGCGGTGGGTTCCAAAAAACAACTGCCACGTGAGGTCCAAAAGGGAAATGGAGGATCCCCCCCAAAATATGGTTCGGTTTTCTTTCGTTTCCCTTTTGAAAACCAACCCCCCAAACAGGTACGCCGCCAACCCCTACAACGAGTACCGTCAACAAAAATAGGGACGAGCCACACCCTCGGTTTTCCTTTGGTTGCAGCGGTTCCAACTCAGAAAAACAGAACAAAACCCGAAACGCCTACCCTACACGCGAAAACAAACACCAGAACCTCCGAAGTCTGGCCGTGACTCCCAGCTCACCCCTCGACCACGTCCTCCGAAAATCGAGGGACTCGAAGCCGCCGGCCCGCGCCAGGCACTCCAAGTACTGGCCCCGCACGAACACCCCCAGCATCCCCTCGTTCCTCAAGGGCGCGGGTCTGTCGTAGGGGGTCTGGGACCCCTTGTTGTGGTCTGAAAGCCAGAAGGAAAGCCACGGTTTATTTGGGGGGGGGCCCAACAGAAAGACACATCCACAATCCACAATGAGGGGATAAAGTAAACAAGGTGTGTGTGTGTGTGTGTCTGTGTCT